AGAAAGAAAGAAAAAGAAAGAAAGAAAGAAAGAAAGAAAGAAAGAAAGAAAGAAAGAAAGAAAGAAAGAAAAAAGCAAAGAAAGAAAAGCAAAGAAAGAAGAAAAGAAACTAATTTACTTTGAAAAGAGCTGGGGGTGTAGCTCAGTGTGAAGGCCCTGGGTTCAATCTTTAGCACCAAGAAAAAGTAAAATCCAGATAAAGAGAGACTAAGTGAAACCTTAGCCAGGCACAGGTCAGAGATTATTAAACTAAAAGATACTTTTTAAAAAAAAATTGATATATTTTTAAACTGCATCTTTAAAATCTCTGAGTATGCTTTTTTCAATCTGGTATCTTTCATTTTGGTGAATAAATCCTCATTCCTTTTCTACACAGTCTTCTGTGACTTTAGAGATTTTGTCTTTGTTTTTTGTTGTTCTTATCATTGTGGGGATGTTAGCAATTTTTTTGGTAGTCCCCAGAAGCTTTGAAGTCCTCTTTAATACTTGTTGTCCCCCCCCCCTTTTTTTTTGAGACAGGGTCTCACTGTGTAGCCCAGGCTGGCCTGAAACTCATGGTGATCCTTCTGCCTCAGCCTCCTGAGTTCTGGGACGACAGGCATAAGACACCACATGTGGCTTTTTCTCTGCTTCTTGTCTCTCTTTGATGATGAGGTTATGCTCAGAATAGGCTTAAGCCATCTTCCTGCCTCAGTCTAACAGCACTTTGTCTTCTGTTGTGCGTGGGCTGGTTCTCAGCTGAAGGGAATGCTGACCAGAACCATCTTTGGAGCTCTTACAAATACAGATGCTTCAGCTCCACCCAGGGCTCCTCCCGGGTGAGGTCCAAGCATGTGTTGGATCTTCAGAGTACTGCAGTTGACTGCAGGTCCTTGTTTTAAAGTTGATTAAGTAAAAAACAGATACTGGAGAAAGTCTGAAGTAGCATAAATTAAAGTTTTAGATCCCTGCAAAATTTGTGGTCCAACACATGCTCACTGACGCATTAAGGTGTCTCGGATGTGCCTTACACTCGGAGGCCCTGGGCCCCACCCTTTGCTGGCACTGCTTTTCTAGAGGGTTTGCTGTCTGCTGAAACTGCCAGGGACAGACTTTTACTCTGGAGTCCCTCTCTGTTGTCCTGTGCCTGAGGTTGCAGCGCTTTGTCTTCTGATTTTCAGGGTAATCAAGGTGATCCTTGCAACTCAGAGGAATGGAGGGAAGACAGTCTTCTTTTCTCAGTAGGCAGTAATGTCACTGGAAGCCTCACTCAGCCAGTTTCTCTCACCCTTTCTTTCTATTTTAGGCAGAAATGGATCTTAAGAGACTGAGAGACCCATTACAAGTACATCTGCCCCTCCGACAAATTGGTGAAAAAGATTGATCTGCGAAGAGCCTGTGAATCCTGACAGAAAGAACACCTGTTTATAACTCTTGCCTTTTTAATTAAAGTATTGCAGGTGGAAGCTGGGAGCCATGGGGGAGTAGAGGGTTTTTACCTTTAATTATAAAACAAAAAAGATCTTAGGGAAGAAAGGAATGTTAAAATCTGAGGGTCGGGAATCATGGAATATAAGCTCAAAGGGCTTGGTGAATCTTGTCTTAATCACGCATCTCAGATGTTGGATGAAATGACGCAATTATGTAGCTGAGAGATTTGTGAAGAGAAAATGACGCTGGGGTGTTTGTTTCTCGCATCTTCTTTGAAGGGTCAGCAAAACAGCAACCACCAGCACCCCACTGAGCTCTATTTTTTTTATTTAACATTTCTTATTTTTGACATAGGAGTAAATAAATATACCGGAAAAGGAAATCCTCACGATACACAGGTGGCAAACAGAGTCTGAGCCTGTGTCATTAGCATTATTCTAAACTGGACGCAGTCTCTGCAAAGGCACCAGAAATCCCGCCCTCCTAGTCCCCTTCTCTGACCACTACCTTCCCCCTCGGATACACTAATTTATCCAAATGATTATCAGAGCCAAGTTATGACTGTTTGATAATTGACACTTCGGATTATCCCTTAATTACTTCTTAAATGTCTAGATATCCCAGTGCTCCGGATCAGTACCTAGGAATCATTGGCAGTACTGCATGAGGTTTTTCTGTTTTGTTTTGTTTTTTATTCATTAGTCTTTTAGAGGAGAAAGAATTTCCCTCCTACCCCACTGAGAAACCCCTCTCCCTGTACCAGGTTACGGAAGAGTGTGCATCTGTGTCACCAAATCAGGAAGATGTGAGGTTTACAGATTGGCTAAAACATCATGGCTCTGTAGCCGTTTCAGAACCAGAATAATGTCATTGCTGTTAATCTGCTTGTGTGACAGTATCCCAGGCCACCCTGATGGCACCGCCGTGTCTAGGGACTTCGTTAATCTCTAACGACACACACTTTTACAGTTTGTGAGTCCTCCTGCCTCCACCACTGCAGTCATTGTAAATCAAGTGTGCGGATCTCAAAGGGTGCAATTTATCTTTATACAGGAATACATTTCTGCAGCTTCCTCCAGCCTACCCTCTCCACCCTATTTTTTTTCTGATCTTAAATTGTGAGAAAGAAGAATTAATCTTATATTCTATCAAAATGTTTTCTACCATATTTCGAGCCAGCACCTGCCCTGGAAGTCAGAGAATCTGTTAATACCCATTTATAGCTGCGGCGGGGGCAGGACGGCAAGGACACTGGCTCTTCTTCCAGTGATTCATCCCTCCTCGTGTGCTAAAGGTTTCTTCTCTTTTCTTCCTGCATTGAGATCATTGTATATGAAGAGGAACACTTCAAGTGGCAAACCCAGACTCCAGGTGCCTTGCAGAGCTGAGGGCCAGCCAGGGCTGCTGCCGCTCCCGCTGCCCCCCCTCGCTGGCATGACGGAATGACAGGATGCATGTTGCCCGTCCCCAGCCCCCCTCCCACCTCCTTCCCGGTCCAACTCCCCCAACCCCATTTATTTCGTTGTGTGGATTATTTTTAAACCATTTATCCTGTTCGTGCGCAGGGTTTTTAAGAAGTAGCACAGTGCAATGAAGAAATCCTTTGGGGGTGTGGGGGCGGCAACGGAGGGAGGACCTGGAGAAAAGTCCTTTCAACAGTAGCAAAATATTGAATGTGTAAAATCCTGTATCATTTATGAAATATGTATAAAAAGCAATGTACCGTCTGGAACAATAAATACTTACTCAATTTTTGAACAGTAGTAGCTCATTCTTTAAAACAAAACCACAAAGAAACTTCCTTTCTTGTGATTCCAGGTGGGAAGTGTTTTCTTCTACAGTTGTTTTTAATAATTATCAAGTTAAGCTTTCCTATTAGACCCTGTATTCCAGAACAGGCATTTCACTGACTCTTCCTGAACTAAGGTGCTCATTACTTTTCAGAGTTTTCTGGAGCCACCAAGAGGTCGAGTGACCTCTGCAGCCATTCATAAAGTTAGCAGTAGTAAGACTGATACCCTCACCTCCTGATCAACAGGAAAATGCTCCATTATATCAGACCACGTAATGACCCTAGACTCCAGAAAGTTGCTCAAGAAAAAAACCAAGATTAGTAATTATTTTCAGAGATCACATCAAATTTACAGTGATCACCAAACAGGAAAATACCACATGCTGCTAAATTCGCCAAAGGCATATCAAAAACACGTGTCTGGTTGCTTTAGTGCAATAGGAGGAGGCATGCAAAGAGCCTGCATAGCTGGGGTCCTGCTCCGGGCAGCAACAGCAGCTTAATACCAACAGATGTATGTAAGGTATGAAAGGAGACGACTGAAATGTGAAGCCATGGCTTGTGCTGAACAAATAGTGATACATATTCTACACATTCTGACAAGCTTTGCAGGGGATATTTTTAAAGAAAATAAAAACATGATTCTTGAGATCCAGTGGCACATGTCTGTAATCCCAGCACAGTAGGAGGTTTGCAAGTCGGAGACCAGCCTGGGAAATCTGGCAAAATCCTGTTTCCAAAATAAAAAGGCTAGAGATGTAGCTCAGGTCAATGTAAAGACCCAAGCGAGGTTCGATCTCCAGTACCAAAAATTAAGGAGTGGATGGAAGTTCTGCTGCTAAGGAATTTACAAATTTAAAGTTTACTTTAAGTTTATTAGTAAAGTTTTATTTATAAGGTTTTTAAAGTTTACTTGAAAACAGTAAGCTCAACAAAAAAAAAATACTGATTGAAAACAGTAAAAGACATAATAGACATTTCTCTGAAAAAAACACAGATCGTCAATAAACACATAAGAGATGCTCATCTTCATGAATTACGGCTTCCTACCCATTCTGGTGGCTGTGACCACAAAAGCAGAAAACAAGTGTTGGTGAGGGTGGGGAGAGGCTGGAGCCCTTTCCATGGCTGCTGGGGATGTAACATAGCACATCCTCACTAAGTTAAACAGTCACTGTGATCCTGCAGCTGTGTATGCGCCCCCCAAACTGAGGGTAAGGAGTTATGCGCATATTTGTACATAAAATACGGTATGTACATACAGTGGACTATAGTTCAGCATAAAAGAATGAAATTCTTGAAGACATATGCGACAACATAGATAAAACTTGAAGACATCCTAAGTAAGCTTGTCACAAAAGCACTAATACTTTATGATTCCCCCTCTATGAAGTATCTAGGGTAGTCAAGTTCATAGAAATATAAACTGTGGATTCTGGGGAAAGAGCAGAGTGTGAGTGTCTAAGAGTTAGTCTTTAGTGGGTACGAACCTTTGGTTTAGGGAGACGAAAAAGTTCTGGAAGTGGGTGGTGACTATGGTTGCAGGCAACGTGATTGTACTTAATGTCACTTAAAAATGGTAAATTGTATGTCCTGTATATTTTATCACAGTAGAAAAAGGTATAGAATTTTCATTACAGACAGATCATGTTCAGTGTTAAATGTACTACGCATTTGTTAATGTGGGTAGTTTTGCTGAGGGAGCTTAAGACTTTTAGAGCTGGGAAAACTAGGGTTCTCAGAGTTGGATCCCTGGAGCAGCAGCATGACATCTCCTGGGAAGCCATAGGAAGGTTAAGTCCTCGGGTCCCCACTGAGTCAGAATCTAGGAGTGGGCAGCGAGCTGAGTTCAGCAAGCCCTGCCAGTGATTCTGATGAGAACCACTGCTGTACACAAACTATTGCTTTGAAAGGAAGGAAACTGCCCCGAGGATATGTGTGTCACAACTCAACAGTGAACCCTGAAATCCAGCGCCATACTGAGTGGCTGGAGGGTCAGCGAGTCTCTGACCATGGTAAATGGAAAAGATGCGTGACCAGAGCGCCTGTCTCATGCTAATGTGACTCCCTGCTTGAGAGAGTGTAGTGGTAAACACAAAAGAAATAAATAGGCTGGATTTTATCTATTTGGAAGGATTTCACAAAAATGGGAAACATCCTAGACTTTGGAACTCAGTTTCCCAAAAACTGTAAGTGTTGTCGTTCATTTTCATCACTGCCATCAAACAGCTTTTGGTTCTGGACTCTTCCAGAAAATTCCAAACTCCTTGTCTTCCATGATGTACTTGGTAGTTATTTCCTTAGGGTAAATGTGTAGGTTAATTAAGGAATCCAGTTGAAAATAATTACCCACTTTATTTTTCATTTAAATTTATTGTATAAATGTGTCACAAGCTGAGCAACTCCCCCTCCTTTGAACACTTCAGCTCCGGTAACTTCACCCTTGGCTCCGCCCATAAATCTCTGGCTCTGTCTCAGCCTCCTTTATACTACCCTCTTCCTCCGCCCACATCTTTGGTGCTAGCCTTCCCCCAGGCTCCATCTTGGATCCCATCTCCATGGGCTATCTACATGTTGATAGGTCTCCACTTGGCTCCCTACCTGAGGGACAACAGATTGACCTCTACTTCCTGATCATGTTTCTAAATTCCTTCCATGTCACCAGCGTATTTTAAAATTCGATTAGCACATTACTTTAGAAAAAGTGGGAAGTTAAAAACAAGTGTTTTTAACTAAGAAAAAACCTCAAAGAAAACTAAGAAACACCTCAAAGAAAAAACCAACTCTCTAAAATATGGCCCATTCTGGACGACAAATGATAGGATTTCTTCAACAAATGGCATGGAGGAAAATGGAAAGAAGATCATTATAGAGTGAAGAAAGTTTAAGTGACCACACCAGATGAAATACACAGTGTAAATCTTGTTTGAATCCTGACTCAAACCAGCAATAAGGAATATTTCAAACTATCTGGAAAACTTAAACATGGATGAGGTATCAGATACTAGGCAATTATTACTAATTTTTATAGTTATAATAATGGCATCATGATTACATAAAGAAATCAGCATCTTAGAAATGCATATATAAATGACACATTAACAAAATGTCAGCAACTATTACAGCTGGATGTACATTATTGTTCTTTCTACTTTTGCATTTTTTTTTATATTTCATCATAAAAAGAAAGGGCAGGTCAACTAAAAAGGAAAAAATAGAAATAAGGGGTAAAAAAAAAAATCTTACCATCCTGGAAATCCTTGTTTACAGAATCAAAGGGCTATCTGTTAAAAGTCCTTGACTCCAGCAATCAATCCTGGCAGCAAAGATAAATCTGGCTTTATCTCATGCACACGTCCTCTGCTTCTCTGTAACCCATAGGAAGTACTCAGATGGCTCCATATGGACAGGAAATTGTGGGGGCTGGTTTTTTCCCTGGAAGCACCAACACTTTAACAGCAGCAGTCCACAAAGAGACAATCCCAAGGTCAGCCGTGGCTGGCATCAAATCATACCTTAAGCTAGCAGTTGAAGTGCTTCCTATTAACATCAGTGGGAAAGTAACTATAAGTTTAGATCCATTGAAACCACTTACCAGATGATAAACAGTTTGCAGGGGCCACTTTTCCCTTATCCCTTACCAGAACCCATCAGTAAGCGTGGCACCTGGCTCCTTCTAAGCTGTCTCGGTTACTTTTTCCTCCCTGCTGGGACAAAATACTTGACGCCCAAATTTAAGGAAGGAGAGGTTTATTTCACTTACATTTTGTAGAAGTTTCAATCCGTACTTGGCAGATTATAGGGCAGAGTGGCACGTGGCAGAGGGCTGCATCTCAGGGCGGCAGCACACAGCTAAGCAACTACCGGGACACACACACCAGGGCGGAATAGGGGAGGAATGTCCTCAAGCACCCTTTTCCTCTCCCTTACATATGCAAACTATCCACCCCAGGGCGGGTGTAGCTCTCAAACCCATAATAATCAAACTCTAACAGCCTGCCCCAGGATCGCATGAGGCTTTGGGGGGGACACACAGACGTAAATCATAACATAAGCACTAACATTTCATTCACCTGCCGCACTTAAGAGGTCACAGGAATTTGAATTCCACTGAGTTCTGCAAAATACTGTGCTACGAGATTATAAAGACAACTGAGGACTACTTTCCAGATGAAATTCCTTTGCCAGCCACTAGAAATCTGATTATTAAAAGAATAGCAGATGAAAGTGAATGCAAGAATAAAAGAAGCTCAAAGCACCCAGCCAAGGTAAGATTGGAGAGAAAAATGTTGCATTCACTCAGATCTTTCTTTAAAATAGCATTAAAAAAAAAAAA